CTTTTCCTGGCATTTTTCTGGACTATGTGTTGGGTGAGATTTAATTTCATAATTTGAATGACAGTTCTTATCTCTACTTTTACTTTTACAGAAAAAAAACCTTAGACCTTAAAAATTCATTTGGCATCTGTAGAGTAACATACTATGGGTGATGAGCTACCTAGAAGACTATTTTGGGTTCTGATCTTTTTTTCTGTTTTTTTTTTTTTTTCAGTCATTTTCCAACAGTTTTAGTGGTTGTTTCTTTCTCCACATTCTTCTACCATTTTAATGAGCACACAAATGTTATTTTGATCTCTCTGTTTTAACAGCCAACTATAAAATAATTTCAGTAATTAATACATATAATATGACTTAATAATAATCAAATAATAGAGAATTTTTTTTCAGAGTGATATTGGAGAGCTTTTGAGTTTCTATTATCCCATGTTTGGACAAAAAAGGTCGGGGGAAGAGGAACCCAAACTAAAACTAGCTCTGCTTGTATGCCTTTGTACAAACAGAGAGAGAGAGGCGAGGAAGGGTATAAACTAAATGAATAACATTGATCACGCATGTGTGCATAATTTTAAACTTATTCTTCATACGCCTTTGTATTATTTGTTAAATCAAACATGAATTACCTTTGTGATTTCATGAACTCAAATAAAATAAATTTAACAAACAGATGAGAAACATTATGATGTTTTCTCAAAAATTAAACATAGAATTACTATATGATTCAGTAATTTCACTTCAGCTATATAGCCAAAAGAATTGAAAGCAGGGACTTAAACAGATATCCAAAAGATAGAAACAACCCAAGAGTCCATCAATAGATGAATGGATAAACTAATGTGGTATATACATATAATGGAATGTTATTTAGCTATAGAAAGAAAGGAAATTCTGACGGATGCTACAACATGGGCAAACATTGAAGACATTTTGTTAAATGAAATAAGCCAGACATAAAAGGACAAATATTCCCTTTATATAAAGTACCTAGAATAGTCAAATCGAGAGACAGAAAATAAAACAGTGGCTGCCAGGGACTGGGGGAAGGGGAATGGGGAGTTATTGTTTAATGGGTATACAGTTTCAGTTTGGGATGATGAAACATTGTGGAGATGGATGATGGTGATGGTTGCACAACAATGCGAAAGTACTGAATGCAGCTGAACTGTGTACTTAAAAATAGTTAAAATGGTAAATTTTATGTTAGGTATATTTTTAAACAATAAAAAAGACATCTTTGGTCTCATTTACTTTAGGTAAATAAAGTACTAGTTTGTGTGTATCAAGAATTGCAGGAGTGGAAGATGAAGCAACGAGATAGAGAAGAGGGGTCCAGGCAGGAAGGGTACTAAAGGAAGGGGAGAGGCAGGATTCCCCAAACCTCGGCCTTTTTGCCCTATGGAACTACACACCTGTGGGCAGGTGGAGGGATATGAGATCACAGACCCTGCCCATGGTAGGCGTCTGAGAGAGGCCCTGCTGAGGCCCTAACAAGGTGGTCACTCCCCCAGCCTCTTCCCCTACACCAGGCTGGAGAAGGAGAGAAGCAAGTAGAGCCTGACCCTCTGAGATGGTAGCCACAGCTATGCTTCTGTGCCCTGATGGATGTGCCCAGATTGATGGGCCCAGGAGCTCCGCCTGGACCCAGAATAGCTAAGACCCATAGGTCTTGGGCAATGAGAGCGTGTAGGATGTGTGGTGGCACTGGAAGCACAGGCACAGGCTGGATCCATCAGGAGGTGATCTTGGAATGGAAGGCGGGGTGAAATCATGAAGAACATTGTAGGGACATGCCCCACCCTCCTACTCTTGAAATCTTTCTGCTGCCCACCACTTTTATCACACATACATCTCTACAACATTTTTTGATGAGAGTGTAAAATAATTGATTTCTTAGGCACTGTCTCTGCACCTGTCCCACTCCCGTACCCCAAACAGTGCTCCATAAGTGCTGTCAAATTTAATTGTTGCATAAGTTTCAGGCCTGGCCTGAAAAGATTATAGGCTAAGCAGCCTGTGGGTTTTCATCTCTCTGTGTAACTTTTTATCAGATACTTTAAGGATCATCTCCTTCTTGGCTCAAACACATTCATGTATTCATTTATGTGTGTGTTCCTTCACAAACATTAAGCCTCTACTGCTAAGACTAAGCTTGAGAGAATAGCAGCCCCTTAGCAGGACAAGATACTCTAGTTAAACCCTTCATTTGACCCAAGAGTTTGCTAAGGTCCAGAATGGGAATAGGGTTTGTAGAAGGTCATACAGTAAATATTGATTTTAGTTTTAATTTTTTTCTAGCTTTATTGAGATATATTTGACATGTAACATTGCATAACCTTAAGGAATGCAATGTAATGATTGATAGATGCATTTATTGTGAAATGATTATCAAAGTAAGGTTAGTTAACACATCTGTCACCTCACACAGTTACAATTTTGTGTGTGTGTGTGTGTTTGTGGTGGAAACTTTTAAGGTTTACTCTCATCAGATTTCAATATACAATCCAGGTGTGTTTCTTTTGTTTTTGTTTTTTGTTTTTTGTTTGTTTGTTTGTTTTTTAACTATAGTCATCATGTTGCACATTACATGTCCATAAATGTTTTTTGTGTTTTTTAAATGATGATATACAAATCACCAACAAGCATATGAAAAGATGCTCAACATTACTAATCATCAGAGAAATGCAAGTCAAAACCACAATGAGATACCACTTCACACACATTAGGATGGCTACTATAAAAAAAAAAAAAGACCCAAAAAATGACAAATATTGGTGGAGAAATTGAGACCCTTATGCATTATTGGTGGGAGTGTCGAGTGGAGCATCTACTACGGAAAACACTATGGTGGTTCCTCAAAAAATTAAACATAGAGCTCCATATAATCCAGAAATGCCACTTCTGGATATATACACCCCCAAATTGAAAGCAGTCTCAGAAAGATATTTGTACACCTATGTTCATCACAACATTCACAAAATGCAAAAGGCAGAAACAATCCAAGTGTCTATTGACAGATGAATGGATAAGCAAAACGTGATCTGTACATACAATGGAATATTATTCAGCTTTGAAAAGGAAGGACACTTTTACACATGCTATAATGTGGATAAACCTTGGGGACATTATGCTAAGTGAAATAAACTAGTTACAAAAGCAAATATTGTATGAGTCTACTTATATGTGATCTGTAAAGTAGTCAAACTCATAGAGACAGCAAGTAGAAGGCTGATGGGCAGGAGCAGTGGGGAAGGTGGAATGGGGAATTATTGTTTAATGGGTACAGAGTTTCAGTTTTGCAAGATAAAAAGACTTCTGGAGATGGATGGTGTGATGGTTGCACAGCAATACGAATGTACTTAATACCACTAAACTGTGCACTTTAAATGACTGAGAAAGTATCACGTTATATATATTTGATCACAATGAACATTTTTTAATTATACAGGTAATTCACAAATACATTCTTGCTGTAAAAATTCAAACAATACAAACAAAACTAAAGCCTTCCTTGACTACTTCCCCATCTGGCTATATACACTGTCTTATTTAATTCTCATAACCACCCTACGATTTAGGTATTATTATAATCTCCATTTTACAGATGAGGAAACTGAAGTGCAGAGATGCTAAGGACCTTTCTTGGAGTCAGTAAGTGCTTTGGTCTAGATTTAAAGTCAGACAAACAAATTACAAAGACCCTGCTCTTACCCAGTTATGAGATATTAAGTTTTTATAAAGATGAAATTATACATATAATTGTTTTTACCTAGGTCTCAACTCACATGTGACCTCCACAGAGAGCCCTTTCCAAATCACCCTAGCTAAAACAACCTCCAGCCCACACCAGTCACTCTCTCTTCCATCACTTACTGCATTGTCTTCATAGTACTCTTCCCTGCTGTTTTCTTGTTTAGATTGTTGTCTGTCTTCCCCCACTAGAATGTCAGCTCTGTGAGAGCAGGAATTCTGTCTTTTCTGTTCCCCCTGAATCTCCTGTGCCTACAACAGCGCATGGCACTTAGTGGGTGACTTTATTAGTTTCTGAGGGCTGCCAAAACAAAGTGCCACAAACTGGGTGGCTTAAAACAACAAATTTATTTTTTGCTGTTCTGGAGACTTACTGTCTTAACTTGGATATTCAAACTTTCACCCGCTCTGATCATTCAGAAAAGGTTAGATAGAAACCCTGGGCTTCGCAACTGATCCCCAAGCTCCCCAGGGCTTCCTCATCATTTCTGTTGTCATGCACCCCGTCACTTGCGGTACTGGGTCCCCTCAGAGATGAGCAGGACTGGCCTGACCCCTGAAAAGTCCCCTTCTGATGATGTAAGGAATGAAGATTCAAACTAACAACCCACACAGAGTGCAGGGCAGAGGGTGTTGCAGGCACAGAAGGGGCCTAGAGCTCGGCCAGGTTGAGCTAGGGACTAGGTCTAAACTTTACAGATAGATGCTAGATGAGGGGCAGCGATGCAGGGATCTAGGAGCCTCTTGGAGGACTCAGACGCAGGGTTAGGCCCATCCATGGGCTGGGAGGCCCTCGAATGCCCAGCTAAAGTCTACACTAGACTGTATATTGTAGACTGGGTGTAGGAAACAGGTTTTAGATGATGTTTATCCATGACAAGCCATTTGTCCACATGCCTCGGTGAGTCATAAACCGCCTGAGGCAGCACCTGGTCCAGCCGGGGTTCTACCCTTGTGTTGCAACTACACTCCCCGCTGACGCCTGCGCGGAACGTGGAGATACTCGGTCTCTTGCTGGTTCATTTTTAGACCCCGACAAGCTCCAGCCCCACAGCCTGACCCCGCCCTCTTCCGCCTGGGCCAGCTCCCCAGGGCGGAGACTCCCGGAGCTGCGGGCTGGGAGCAGAGTCACAGCCGCCGAGCCTCGCCTGCCCTGGCGCTCGAGTTCGCTGCGGGGAAACCAGAGCTCGGAGAGCGAGGGGAATTATTGTTTATCCCGCAGGGCAGGTGAGTCCCGCAGGGCAGGTGCGCCGCGGCGCTCGGTTCCTCACGCTTAGAGGACAGATGTGCCTGCGGGTCGGAGCGCGCGGACCTGAGCGCCGGTGAAGCTTTTGGAAAGGGCAAGGCGGCGGCGACGAGATGCAAGCGGAGGAGCCCTGCGCCCCGGGAGTGCCCGGTGCCCCCGGTGCCCAGGGAAAGCAGCCCGCGCCGGGCCCTGACGCACGCCTGTCTAGCCAGCTGCTACCCGAGCTGTACACCTTTGTGGCGCGCGTGCTGTTCTACCTGGCGCCCGTCTACCTAGCCGGCTACCTGGGGCTCAGCATAACCTGGCTGCTGCTTGGCGCCCTGCTGTGGATGTGGTGGCGCAGAAACCGCCGCGGGAAGCTCGGGCGCCTGGCAGCCGCCTTCGAATTCCTGGACAACGAACGCCAGTTCATCAGTCGCGAGCTGCTGGGCCAGCACCTGCCTGCCTGGGTGAGCCGGGCTGAGCCGGGCGGGGGCCGGAGGTAGGGCGGATACCCTCGGAGGTTCGGAAGGAAGGAACCCTCAGTCCTCTGGGAAGCTGGGATGCTGAGACCCGAGGGATGGCGGGAGCCCGGCGACCCGCATACGGGGTCCCCCACCGCACCCGGCGCACAGACCCTGGGGGCAGTGTCGGTGCCCCTCACCGCCCCTCAGTCTCATCCCCACATCTGGGTCGCCTGCGCTGGGAGAAGGAACCCAGGTTTCCTTTAAGGGCCCAGAGCCTGGGAGAAAAGTTACGGGAGGGGCCACACCCAGGAGAAAGACAAGGGCGTCTGGGACTCTTGCAAAGTTACTCCGGAGGAAAGCAGAGGGCATTCCTTCCACGCGCCTGTTGATTCAAAGAAAGAACGCAGAGCGCAACACTGATCGACTAAGACAATGACATATACTACAGACAAGCATCCTTCAGCAGCAGAGGTTGGGACAGAGGTTGGGGATGGGGCTCAGGGGCAGGGGAGAGGACCGTAGCGCTGGTTCATCCGCAGCGCTGGCTCACGGGCTTCTCTCCCTCCCTCTGCCTGGTAGAGATGCTCCGACTTGTCCAGACACACACAGATACTCATACACACATGCACACTCACACACCCTCAATCACACACTCACACTCAGTCTACAGCTACAAAACTCATCTCCTGGTGTGGAATGGCCTGGACTAAGGTTTCTCAAAGCTAATGGTGCTGAGAATTGCCTGGCCCTCTTAACAAAAACAAGTTCTGGGCCCCACCTCACAACTCCCCAAAGGGAGGAGGCACCCTGGGGAACCTTAGGATCAGGTGAGTTTGGGAAACACTAGCAAGAGTTTTTATACTGTGTTCAGTACAAGGTTTGGTCTGTGGCAGACCTACCCCTCTGGGTGCTGGGGGCTCCAGGCTTCTCTAATTCCTTCTAGATATACTCAGGCCCACAAGGGGAGATGTTCACTGGCTACCAGGCCCCTCAGCTCCTCTAGCGTGAGGACTGTACCCTAAAATCCAACCAGGCCATAGGTTCCTTACACCTGTGCATGATGATAGCATTTGAAGTAAGGTGGTAAGAAAATATTAGAAAGGCCTATTTATATGTGTGTGTGAGAGAAATAAATTACACCTACTATATTATTTTGCCAAGGCTACCATAAAGTATCACAGATTGGGTGACTTTTCAACAGAAATTTATGAAGATCAAGGTGTTGAGAAGGTTGGTTTCTTTTGAAGTCTCATTTCTGGCTTATAGATGGCTGTCTTCCCCCTGAGTCTTCACTTGGTCTTCCCTCTGTACATATCTGTGTCCAAATTTTCTCTTCTTATAAGGTCACCAGTCAGATTAGATTAGGGCCCACCTTAATTGCCTCATTTTAACTTAATCACCTCTTTAGAGTCTTTATAGACTATTTCCAAATACAGTCACATTTTAAGGTACTAGGGATTAGGACTTCAACATATGAATGTTGGGAGATGCAATTCAGCCTATAACACTTTATGTATGGATTGACGGTAAAGCTTTGTAAATAGGTTTATGTATATTGGGAATAAGGGGGGCAAATACTTTTACTGCTAAGCATGCACAGTATAAAAGCACAGTGACCGCTTTCCCAGGGCAGCAGCTATGGGGTGAGTGTTTGGGATCCGTCTCCTACAGAACTTGGTCATCCTGGTTGTTCTATGGGGGTTCATGATCCTAAAAGGTGTGGACCCAGAGAGGAGGCCTGAACCTGTCCATATTCCTTGCTCACTGTTGAGGGAGCCTAAGCTGCCTGTCAAACCTCTGTTGTGACCCCCATGGCAGCCTCTGCCCAAGAGAGTTGACCGATGAGGCCTCATCATGGGTCACCTCCCCTTCTGCCTTTTCTTATATTAGAGAGGCCTCTAGACCCGGCTGTATGCAAAAGCAGTGTTTCTGAAATTAGAGCAAGAATCAGATCCTGTAGTGTTATTGACACTCCCTCCCCTCCCCCATCCCTCTGCACACGAACACCATAGAAATTGTTCTGGCTTTTCTTGAGAGGACCCCAGGACTATATGAACCCAGCCAACAGGGTGCTCAGCCTGATAGGTAAGCAGAACACAAGGAGGTACCTCCTGGGTTTTCACTCCATAAACCATACCCCAGGCCTCACTCAGCCAGATGTTGGGACACACAGCGGAAGGTGATGGTGTCTCTCCTTCTAAGAGGGTAGTGTGGGGCAGGAGGCAGATGCATAATAGGTGACTGCTACAGAGGTCTCGGGGAAGCTGGAGATGGGAGTCTGACCAGGGCCCAGTCAGAGGACACAGCCTTGGAGTGAAGGACTCCCCACTTTGTTTCCATACCAGATTGTCCCCAGACCACATAGACTCCTGCTTTCTTGGCGGAGTCCTAGGAAGGCCTGGCCTCCACCTGCACTCTCCAGACTCTCCTGACCGGCTTGGAGGGCCAGAGCCTGGATAACCTTTTAGACTGAGTCAGTGGTGCTGCAAAGGGCATCCAAGCAGAAAGAGGCTTGTGAGCACAGAATAGAGATGTGGCATGGCCAGTATATGAGGGAGCCTGGTGTGGTTTGGCCTGGCTGAAGTGTGTGGTAGGGGCTGAGGGACAGGGGCCAAATAGAGGCAGACTTGATAGAAGTCGGGCCTATTCTGAAGGCTACCAGGAGCCTGTAGAGGTTTTGGAAAGATTCTGTAAGACACAGCATGGAGGGAGGAGTGAAGCTGGAAGAGAGAGACCAGTTGAGAAATTGATTTAAGCCAAGAGGCTAGTGGTGGGGCCCAAGAAGAGGGGATGAGAAGTGTGCAGTGTGGGACTCTAGGTGCTTGGTGGCCTCTAGATTGGGGAAGACGAGGGATCCAGGGGTCTTCCAGGGCACCTTCTGATTTGGGGAGCTGGGCGCCTATTACTGACTAGGTTTAGGAATCCAGACTAAGAAGCAGGTCTGGGGAGGTTGATCTTCTGTGTGAACACCTGTGAAGAACATGCAAATAGATTTAAAGATTTGTCTCATGAAGGTTTACAAGCCCAGGGGTGATGTGGAAAATCTGGAACTTACACAATTGAATATTCTTCTCCCATCCTTTTTCTGCCTCCCAAGGAACACATACTGTTTAAAAAGACAAAGATAGATGTGGTTCTGGGTGTGGTAAGGACAGCGTGACACTCGCCCACAATTTTGGAGCACGGGTGTCTTTATCCTTGCATGTGGACCTTTCAGCATGCCTTCTTTATTTTGAGAACCGATTTCCTTGTATGAAAGTGGGATTGATGGTTTATGACCTCCTTTGATATCAGAAATATTTTTTACAAATTAACAGATAGCAAACCAATAGTCAGAGAAAGTTTGAAGAAAAGTTGAGCCTCATATGTAGCTACCACACTCAGGCCTCACATAGTCATGAAAATCGGCTCCTGTAGAGCAGCACCCAGTGAGCGAGGGTGGGTCTCCGGCTCACCTGCTGCTTGTTAAGCTGTGTGCTGCTTGGAAAGCACATCTCATTCTGATTTGCACCAAGCTCCTGTGCAGCGGTGGAGGCCAAGGCCAGGCTGAGCTGGAGCGGAGATGCCACCACTCTCCCCAGCCAGGCCTTGGTGATCAGTTAGTTCTCAATCAGGCAGACTTCTTGCCCCATTAGATGCCTCGACACATTGGTCCAAGCTGCTGCCTCTAGGTGATCCTAGAAATTGCTTTCATTTGTTGGGTCTCATTGTCCCCACCTGTAAAACCCTATAAAAGGAGGTTGCTTCTGGTCACACTTCAGATAGTCCTGCTCCTCTTCTGGTCCCTTCCATGGAAGATACAGCTCGAAGAAGAGATTCTTCTGCTTTCAAAGGGGTCATGAGTGAATAACCTGTGGATCTCCTTGTGGATGTGGCCTGGCCACATGGAGAAAAGGCAGCTCATGCTCTGAACAGAAGAACGGCTGCCACGTTTACACGTGAGTGTTCCTTGCACACAGTTTTTAGGTATATTTTCGAAGGTATTAAGAGCCCCTTCAGTCATCCCTCCCTGCCAAGGCTGGGGACTGTGGGGACAGCACAGTAACAACATAGAGCTCTTGACGCTATAGAGCTGGTGGAACCACAGCTCACCGCTCATCTAGCTGCAGGCCTCCAAGGCTGTTTCCACACACAATTGTGGTGAGTCGAGTGTCTGAAAAGCTGCTTGTTCATAGCGAGGCACAAGTGAGGGCTCAGTGGGGGCCGTTGCTGTATTCTCGACTTCCCAGGCCTCCTCACTCTACATTTTCCTAATATGAAATTCATTCCCAAGTGTCTGGGCAGCAAACTTGTCTTTCTGAAGCAGGATGACCACAGGGGGTGGAGCAAGTAGGAGGGATGTGTGGAGACTCCATCCTGTGGCCCCGGCTCTGCCGGGCACGGTCTTGTGAGTTCGCGGAATTCCAGCTACCGTGCTCCAGAAACCACTTCCTTTCCGATCTTCTGCGCCACTCCTCCATGCTCTGAGCGCAAGACCCTCCTGGGGATAACCCGTGTTGCTGCATTGCCTTTTACCTCTTGGAAGCCCTGCAGGTCGCACTCCTGGGTTCGTGCTCTGGGTGGCCCTTCGCTGCTTTTTGCGTTGATGGTTATTCATCAAGCCCTTGACCAGTGCTCAGGTGGCTGATTGGTTTGTCAGATATTTGTTTAGGCTCTGGCACAAGTGGCCTGATGTGAGAAGGAAAGCTTGGTGAGAGCCTCACCTGGCTCCAGCTCCAGATCAAGTGAGAGGTGTTAGAGGATGAGGGCCTGAAACTGGGTGGAGAAGGGAAGAGATTGTCAGAAAGCCTTGCATTTTGTCTGTGGTCTCGGTCTGGCCGGGCTAGTTCTCCTGCCAGTGGACAGCAATCAGTGGGCAGCCTTGTTAGGAACAGTTAACCCTTGTGTATCTGCTGGCGTAGGGGTACTGATGTAATGAGATGGCAGATCTGGACTTGGAGTCTCGGCTCATTCACTTGGGGACCTTGAGAAGGTTCCTTGTCTTCTCTGGGTCCCTCATTCCT